GATTCGTGATAAGTGAGAATATTTTTATGGTATCGTTTGCTGTATTCGGTCTCGTTTTTGCGCATAATATTATTTCGTTACAGTCGACTGTGAGTGATGTTGTGGTGTGTCTATCGCTGTTTTCATCATACACATGAAAACAACAGCATACATTCGTCGACTGGATGTGTTTATTAATAAACATAAAATGGAACAGCTGAACCAATCAAAACAATCCACAATTTATTAATATCATAACAGATTACGAATTATACACTACCGAAAACGACAATAATCGCTCTGAATTTTTACCCATTAACATTCAAATGAATGAACGGAAATTCATTCACACATTAATTCCGTACGTCTGAACAATGAATGATGTGATGCGATCGTGATTTAGAGATTTTTTTAAACATGAACAAATAACGCCTGCAAAACGAATAACCTTTCATCAAAACGTAACCCGTTGAAAAAGTGAGCATGGATAACACTAATTGAACTAATTGCACGATAAGAAAAATTCAAAATAAGCATATCCATAATACCAAACATCGATCATAAGAATCCAATATTTTATAACGAATCAAAATGTCCGCATAACAATTCAACAAAGAATAAAATACACACGAAATTTTCTGCATCCACAACGCAAAACTTTTGAGTGCGCGATGATTCGCTTGTACGGAAGAAACTCGATAGCAATAAGAGGAGTTGCACACACTCGTATCACAATCGTTAAAGTTTATTAATTTCGCGAGCACTTCCTACGTCTCAAAACTTCAATTCTACTCAAATTGAATCTTCACAGAATTCATCTGGTTCAGAAAAGTTACACGCTTCTCCATAAATATCAAACTTTTATTCATGATAGAGGTCGTTTTTAGGGAATCATCACTTCAAAATGGTTAATTCATGAAATGGTGAACCGAAATAGCAACACGTACAAATACGTCGAGTGCAGCGCAAACAATCAAGTTGAGAATGCAAATCCAATAAAACAAAAAAAAATTTGACGAACAAAAATATCAATCAGGCACTAAAACAGAAACAAACAGTTTTGAACTATGTTCGAAACATATCAGCAAAACGTTGCCGATAGAAATTTGGTAAAGACAGAAGGGAAAACAAAGTATTAAACAAATACCAAACTTTTGAGGTAAGCTAGTTTAAAATGATCAATGGACGTTTCGAAACAAAACGAAAACTAAGCAAAACGAATAAACCATTTGAACTGAACGGCAGAATGGCAGTAATTCAAGCCATATCAGTGCTGTGATAAACATCAAAATCTGTTCATAATCCGCCTTCTTCTACCTAATAACTTTCTCACTTCAAAATACCCGAACATTTTGGGTTATCACGCATCGATCACATCGAATAAACAAATTTATTCATACAGTCCAACAATTACGACTCAGGTCAGTGGAGTATATAATCAATGGACATACAATTTCAGTTTCAAAAAATCGCAAATCTCGTTGAAGCTTATCAGCACAAAGACTGCTATTGCGGAAAATTATTTAGGCGAAACGAAGGTAATTTGTAGCGACTTGTTGCTGATTAGGTGAAAATGGGATGATGCGATTTCGAAGAATCTATATGAAACATCTCCCACCAATCCAAAAGTCAACAACCCGAAGAAATATAAAATAACGTAGCAAATCCGTAAAAACACAAAACAGTTCATTCAAAACAGATTTAGTCCATGGAACGTGAATATCAAATGTGCAAATGAACTAAATAAGCTCATTTTGTTCGCTTATAGACTAAAAAGCCAACTGAATAACTGACCAATTAAAGCGTTAAAGCAATTGTACACATAATGAAGATCAAAAATGATTCGATATCAAAACTCTCAATAAAATTCACTATCCGTTTCGGTTGTGTCCATCGAAGCTCGTTTTCGTCTAGATGGACAATCTGCTGAAATACAAACGAAAAATTAAAAATTTCAAGGCAAAGTAAGATTCATTCAACAAATGAAGTAGTTCAGTGAATACACAATTACCACTTGGAAGGAATCAAAGATAGAAAAATGAATCTTTGAAAGCACCGAAATGAATGGAGACGAAAGGATCATGCAAATAGACTGATAACTGCAAATGACTTGGGTTTGTCAGAATTTGATTGTCAATTCCCTGAGAAAATAATCCAAAATATTCCCTGTTCCAAACTTCAAAAGCTCCGTCCCCGTTGCTCAAGTCTAATGAATTATCTGCTAGAAATTTTTAGGACTTTGAAAATTACGAACTGAATAATCGAACACAAGCTTTCATTCAATCAGCGAATCTACTTGAAGCAACGATATGAAAATTTTCACATAATTTCTTTCTATTAACATGCGGGAATTGTAATCAAGGCTGGCAAGATTACTTTAGCAGACAATTTACAATCAGAATCTATCCGAAGGAATGAACAGTGTGAAACCGAAAATTGAAACTCGTTGAAGAGCTGCTGATATTTATTAGAAGTTTGATAGGACTGTCTTATTTCAAGGTGATCCGTCGGGGAAACCATAAGAAATATTATGAAACAACAAATCAACTAACACTAACACTAGCAAATTTGTTCATTCCTCTGAAAACAACCGATTGAATAAACAAACGGCAAACCAAACGATAAATAAAACCATAACTGTCCGGGTGAGAAATGAACAACACTATCGATAAACCATTAATACAAAAGAGCGTTATTTTCAAATATACCGAATTCATTTATCTGCTACCATCACAATAGATTTGTTACCATCACAATGAAAAGATTAAGTCGAAAATAAGTTCCTTACACGTCAAATTTGCTCTATGTTGAAACTAAAATATTTTCGAAACGTTGTCTAATTACAAATACACGCACTCATATCAACTCATTTATAAAATTTGATAACAATCAAACAAATGAACCAAAAAAAAAACAAATACAACTTACTGACTGCACTTGTTCTAGCACTACCCGGATTATCAAGAAGAATACTGATTAAGAAAGATGCACACTCGGCAATATCATCATCCTCGATAGCTGCTAACGCTGGTAAACGATCGCGCTCATCCTAAAATTGAACAGTAATAATAGCGAGATCAGTTTCCAGGATGTAACCTCTTGATCACCTCAATGAATATAAACAATCCAACTGCAACTTTCTCCTACCTCAACAGTTCTTTACTACTAAAAATGCTACTCGATCTATTGTTTTTACGACTACAACAGAAAGTGGTCCAGTAACTTCAGAATTCAGATCAAAT